TTTTTTTTTAACTCTTTTTGCGAGCTCCGGTGTTTGTTTTTAGCCTAATTGGTCACGTGACGGAGAAGCGTGGCTTGACGTGCGTCAAGCTGGACACAGACGGATGTAACGGAGGATCCGGTCATTTTTCAAAATAAAACATCTTTCGTATTCCGAAATAAATACAACGGAATTGAGGCAAGTTCTTTCTGTGCGGCCCGGTACCAAATGCCCTGCGGACCGGTACCAGTGGTTGGGGACGCCTGTTTTACAGGACAAAAAAATGAGTGGGCAAACGGGAAATTTGATCCGATTTCGGTCGTCCTCCGTGAATCTTTTTGGCGTCGAATCGCAATGAAACATTGACAAGCATTCTGCTTTTACTTTGAAAAACAACAATCAACATGTTTTCTGACATGGCCCGGACCCAACCAATAAGGAATGTCTGTCCCGCCCGTTAGCCCAGAGAGTGCTGCTTCTTCAGGTTCTTGGGGTTGTCCGTGCACTTCGCTCTCGCTTCGGGAGTTTTCTTGTACCAGCTCCTGACAGGAAACGAGAGCGACCAAGGATCAGTGCTTCAATAAATCAAGTTGGACACAGACATGCAGCAAAAACATCGGCAAGAAAAAAAACCATTTTTTGGGACATTTTGCATTTTGGTAACTTGGCACTTCTCAGAACTAAACTGAGAGAAATGAAAACGCGCATCCCCAAAGGTTGTTGGGCCTCTTGAAAGCTCTACCCTCGCATTTCGGTGGCCCTCCAAAACGTCCCTCAGTCCGGAGTCAAGTTGGGTCTTTTGCGCAAATCAAATTGCGAAGCGATGAAGGTGTCGCTTCTTCATTCCGCGCGCAGTCTATGGCGCCACTTTGGACAGGCGCCGTCGCGCGGGAGCCAGCGGCCAAGTCGGCGACAGTGACTGAGACGTGAACTCACCCCTGGCGGTTGAGCTGGCTCGGAACACATTTCTGGACTTGGCTGGCCTTTGGAACTCTAGGAAAGGAAGACAACAGGGACGATTTCTAGGCACGCCGAAATAAAACAGTTGAGCCCCTTTCCACCCCTGTCAGGTCCATATTTCAAAGTCCCGATGTCACGCTCAATCTCCAAATTTGCTGATTTTGGTGACACCGAACACCGTTGTTACAACAACGTCATGATCGTGACCGCATTCCCCCCCCCCACCGGTGAGTTGTTGGTCCCGATTCCCCCCCCCCCCCGCCCAAAATGAGTGAAGGGGCCTTCGTTGCAACGAATCGCGGGAAGCTACCTGCCCCGGCGGTCTCGCTGATGAACAAAATGCGCAGCGCGGGATTCCCCCGCGTTGCTAGGCAACGCTACCGATCGACTCGTACCGGGTTGCACTTCCGCCGGCAAAAACCGAGGCGGCGTACGCTCCGAAGATCCGCCCACCCGGAGTGAAAAAGCTCGGAGCGTGAGCACGCGTTCCCCGTACCTGCTGGGAGTGGGACTTTTTGGCTTCGGCATCGCCTTTCCAGCCTGGCCCGGTGACTCCGCCTCCCTGAAAGTGAGCCCGCGGTGCCGCATCTCGTGATTGGCACCATCAACAAATACAGAGCGGCTTTTCTTTCTTTCCTGCGTACGTTACCTCTTTTTTCGGTCCAGAGATCTTTGCGTGGCGGCAGACAGCGCCGCTCTCTCCTTTTCCTTCTTGGCTTTCTCCTTGACAATTGGAGACACGCAGTCAAATGGAGGATTCGGCTTTGGATTCACTTTTACCAAGTCGGAAAGTAAGCACGGCGCGGCCTGCCGACCTCTTTGGACGAGTGAAATTGCCAGGCGACGCCGAGAACGCTCCCAAGTGGACGGCTGGCATGCCAGAAGCCGGCTTACCTCTTCTCTTTGCTTCTTCTCAGCGCAGAGCTCCCGGTCCTGCTGCAGCAGCGCTAACCGATCCCCCGCGGGGATTTCAAAGAAGATTTCGTGGATGTCATAGAGGGCGGCGCGCAACTGAGGAAAGCAAACGGTGCCGTGGAGAACAGAACAGAGCAGCGGCGGCGGTGGCGGCGGTCGCGGCACATCCCTACCTGGGCTCCGACTCGGTCGTGCAGGGAGAGGTCCTGCGCCGACAAAGTGCTTCTCTTCTGTGAACCTTCCGTCCGGAAGCAACGAATGAACTCCTGCGTGTCCTGCAAGGACGCCACAAACGCGCTCAGATACGACCCGCTCGCCCGCTTTAGCCGGGCCGATGACATTTTGAAAGAAGAACAAAGGAACCTTTTCCCACTGGTTTCTCATGACCTGACGGAACCTAAACACGACCGAAGAACAAAAACGCATTTCCGCCACGCTTTGGGCCACGGTTAGAATGGTGGTGTGGATCTGGATTTTGTTCTGGTTTTGAAAACAGGACATTTTTCTGCTACTAGTGTCAGCCCCTATCCCACTGAACCACTGCGAGTGTTTTCGAAGGCAGGCAATGTTGTCAGAATTGGTCGGGGTTCGTTCAAGGTCGCAAACGCTTTTCCTCTTCCGTGATGTGAGAAATTTCACGTTTGGCACACTTAACGAAAATACGACAAAAGTCTTCCGGGGTACTTTGCAAGAGCGATGGGCCAAGGGAGAACTGGAGTGATTTCTTGAAGCCGAGTGATCAAATTCTGGTGTGTGTGATTGTGTATGTCTGCATGTGTGTGGTGGTGTGCGTGTGTGTAAAAGTGTGTGCCTACGAAATCAAGGTTTCTGACGAGTTTTTATTCGAAGTTGGTGAACAGCATGAGAACCTTCAAGTCGAATGACCACAGGACTCGCGAACTCCCGGTCATGCCAGAAACCGCAAGTCAACCGTAGACCGATCCGGTTCACCTTGGGAGCCTCACCGTGACAGTCTGACGCAGATGTTGGACCTTGCGTGTTTTGAGAAGTCTGCGCACGAGGAAGCCGCGGGCGACGGCGCCCAGACGACACGACGCTCTTTGCTTTTCCGCGTTCAGAGCCTGCAAACGAAACGTGGTCCTGCCAAGATCAGAACGTTGATCGAATCAAGTCCCGGTCCGGCGATCGCGCACGCCGTCACCTGACTGAGGAGCTTCGCTTGAGGTTTGTGAGCCGCGCAAGGGGGCCCTTGGAGGCGGACGGGAGGCCGTGCGGCGGGAGACGTCGCATTTGAAGCCGTGGGACGAGGAAACCCTGGAAAACGAGAAAGAAGACTTCAGGGTTCGTGGAAACCGGCGTGACAACGCAGCATGGCGACGCGCTACCTTGACGGTGACCCGCCGTTGCGGCCGATGGGCTCGCAGCCGGAAGGCCGTCATTCGCAGGCGCACGCTTCCACTGGCAAGAGTCCCGGGTCTGGAGCGTCACACGCTCCTGCTCCCTCAGTCTTCTTTCGGTCTCCTCAAGCTCCTTTCACGGGACAAACAAAGCAGCCAAGTGCTCCGAAATGATCCGATTCTCCCGTACGAGGTGCCACGTCTCAAGGTTAGGAATGACGCCCAATCAACGAGTCCGAGTCAGCGCACCCCCGTCGGAACGGAACGGCGTGGCAAACTGCGCATTTCATTCACGAAAACGGTCGGGTCGGAGGCGCTCACCAGACGGAGGCGCCGTTGCTCTTTCTCCTGCTCGGCCAGGAGCAGCGACATCTGGAAAGCGTGCGCCTCCTCCAGGCGCCTCTGCATGTCCTCCAGAACCTGCGCCCGCCTCTGGGTCTCCTCTGCGTGCCAAAAGGTCAACGTCAATGTTTTGGGCGCCTTTTGAAACCGTCGCTCAATTCCGGATCAGACGATCGCAGACCTGCGTGACCGGCGCACGCGTCTCCTGCATGTGTGAAGAAAGTCGGTGAGGTTTGATGGCAAGGCCTTCGAGGATCATCGGGCGCTTTCCCGAGCTCGCCTTCGGGGCAAACGGGAGGCCTCCGCAGACAGGCTGAAGGCTTCTCGAACAGGAAGGGCTCGTAGGGGGGGGCGGCCCAGCTGCGCCCACTCGAGGGGCGCATCGTGACCCCCGCCATGAAGCGAGGCGTCCTCTCTCGACTGCGGTCAATGCGATCCCATCCAGTGTGGTCGGTGCGCGGCTGACTGTCCATGGTTCGGCAGCGCCGGCGGAATGTCGACGGCGCGTCCGCGCGCCGCCCCGCCGGGACGGGCGACGCGGGCGTCTCAGGGCTGCGGCTTTCCCGCGTTGGACTCTCGGCGCGATGACCCGACCGATGACTACCCGGCCCGTCGAGACCGCCCGCGCCCTGGCTCGAAACCGGTCTCCCGTGAGTCGGGCGCCGTGCGGCTCCGGGCGGCGCTTCTCGCCGATCGGACGGACCGGCGCCGTCCCCCGGCGTTCCGGGCAACACGATGCAGATGTTCCCCGTGGAGAACGGCCGTGGCTTACGCCTCGGAACCCGGGGGCTAAAACCGGACTCCGGGCTTGGCTGCCGAACGAACTGATCGGGTGGACTCGGCGATACGGGGCGTTGGGGCTCGGGGTCATGCGGGTTTTGGTGGAAGGGAGTCTCGGGAGGGCCAACGGGACTGCGGTGCAAACTAAAGCCAAACTCGAGACCGCTTTTCGGACGACGCGTTTCTTTTTCGGAGACGGTTTGGGGTAAAGCTGCGGGCGTGGCCTCTTGTGACACGGCCTCCCGCGGCCTCCTCTTCACATCCTCTTTTGACGGCTTGAGAAGGCTGTCCGTACTCACATCTTCCTCGTCACTCTTCTCTTCCGTCCCCGGCCGCACCTCATCGCCGGCGATAAGACCGGGCCAGTCAGCGATGACCGTGTACCCATTGAGTGTTGTTGCTTTGGGGCTCGGTGACTTTTCGGCCTCGATTTTTGTCACAGTGTGTGCAGGGAAGGACGGCGTTACCTCGCAAGCTGATTTGTCGCTGTTTTTGGTTTCCTTTTCCAGCGGAAGCGGACCGGAGCCCGCGCGTCCCCGTGACTGCGCTGCGCAGATCGCCGGTTGGTTTGGAACTCGGGCCGAGGACTCGCCCCTCCGCTGGTTCTGCCGATCTATTTCCAGCTGGGCCGCCGTCCGTCTGAGCTCGCACATCTGTTGCCGCTGCTCCGCGTTCAACTGCGAAATCAAAAGACCCAGGTCCAAATCCATCGTTGAGAATTCGCTTCGTTGCCAGGACTGGACTTTCGGTCCATCGCATCTTGAAGCACCGGAGGGGAAAAAGTGTCCATTTCCACCTTACCAGGGGAGACAGGGCGGCTTTCCCGCAGGAGACGATGACGGACGAATACGTGCCGATCGGCTCGCGCGTGGCCCTCTTGAATATTGTCTCCTCCTGCAGCGCGGCCGCACTTCGCAGGCAGAATTCCTCATAGCTTTCCATCCACATCGCCGCTGTCGGAATGAATGGGCAGTTGAACACGCGCTTGTGTCAATACGTGACTGCGGGGACAGAGCAACAAAGGGAGGCCGTGTCTGCTTTGAGTTGTTTTCATCACACATCAAATTCCTGCCATTCCGAGCCTGACTCATCTCGCGTCCAGAAACAGCCGGGCGATTACTATCTGAACGCGCACGCACACACACACACGGACACACACACACACACACACACACACACACACACACACACACACACACACACACACACACGTTAAAAAATGAACATTAACTGTGACCAAGGCCAATGACACTCTCATTCAATAGCAATGAACCAAGGGAAAGTCCCACGTTTCGATACGGTCACGGGAAGGGGTAAAATTGTGCAATGGTGTTGCTATTTGGAGATGCGGCGGTACAGATGTTCACATGACCCATCTCGTTTCATACCCTGGCAGGGAAGAAAGCGCGACGTTTCAGCTCCTTCCCGCTCCACTCTCGCTTCTGTTGACAAGACGCACACGCGAACAAAACGCCGAAAGCGACGGCGGTCCTTCCAAATCTCGCGTCCGTCCTCGTCGTCCCGGCTCGCCCATCACCACTGCCGCCGAGCCGTGCCCTCCCTCCCTCTTCCGGGTTACAACAGCACCTCCTAGCAACAGAGCGAGGGCTGCGTTCCAAAACGTTTCACGCGCCGACTGTTCGACTTCACGGCACACAAACGTTTCCCGTTCCTTGCCATTCCCATCGTTTAGGAGCCAAATAAATAAGCAAATCGTGCAGATAAAGGATCTATTTCGCCCGAATCACATATTTAAGAAACACGGGGGGGGGGGAGCGTAGAGGCAGTCAAGGAAGCAGAAGAGACAGAAAGGTTACGAGGTCTTTTTGTGTCCTCGTCTCCATGGCATTGAACGCCAGCGCTTGGCAGCTGCTGAATTGGCTTCTCTCCAGCAAACGAGACATATTTGCATGCTTAACAATGATAAGCTTCCCTAAAAGAATGATGATGAGGAGGATCATCGTCGTCATCTGAGCAATCTCTTGATCAAATGTGTACTGTGCACGAGGAAAGAAGAATCCTGAGCATGTGAGCCTATGATCAATATCAATGGACTTAATAGGGCTGCACTGTGATTCCAGCATCGTCTATTGATTGATTTATTTCCTTTGAATATTCTGGTTCTCAAAGAGATCAAGGCAGCCAAAATGTAACATCCGAAGGAAAGGAGTTTTATTTAACACTTCTTTTCCGTGAACACACTTGATTGATCATCGCCAAAACGGTCTCCGAAAATCTTGAAAATAAGGCAGATCGAGCAGATGCCGACGGTCAAGTGTTGCCGTGACGGGACCTCGTCTTTCCATGCGACGATTTTTGAAAATTTGCGGTGCGAGCGAGCTTCTGATCAAATTCACACGCCGCGTCTTACTCACACTCGCTTGGTCGCGCGTAAGGCGCCCGCTCGCTATTTCGGGAACAAATCATCATGAAAGAATATTCTGGGGCCGCAACGTGGTGCCTTGAGTTGTGCTTTGGCGCCAACCAGGTGCCAAAGAAACAGGTCAAACAGAGCAGAGGAGGATTATTGAGAAAAAAGGAGCACTTTGGCGCCAACGGAGGAGCTTCATTTCCACAAGGGGATTGCTTTGGCACCACTTAGGTGTCGAGGAAATATGTCAGAGGTGAGGAGCCTTATTGAGAGAAAAGGATCACTTTGGCACTCTTTTGGTGCCAAAGGACTATTGTGAAGTCAATGGAGTCGCTTCATTGAGACAAAAGTAGTGCTTGGCGCCATCTCTGGGCCCAAAAACTGTCAAGTGAGCTTTATTCAGACAACGGTATGTATGACTTGCGCCATCTTGAGGGAGAAGAACGATGTCGAAGTGTGGGGAGCAGCTTCATTGAGACAAAAGTAGTGCTTTGCTGCCAATTTGTTGCCAATTACGCCGCTTTCAGCGACAGACATGCGCGATTTGCAGCAAAGCTCAGTTCCCAAGGCTTTCAGTTGAATAATGTGATGAGTGGGGATAGTTGAGGATTTTCTGGGCTTGTTTGTTGAGGTTTTGGGGTGGCATGCAGCTCAGTCTCTCACAGAAAGTGAATGAAACCATTTTTGTTTCCGAAACGGAATTATCGTCGTTCTCCCCAGTGCTACGTGGAGAAATTCTCTTACAATTTAAGCTGTTTTTTTTTTTTTTTTGCTGTGGCTTTTCATATCTCGAAAAGTTGATTAGAGCTTGGAGGGGTAGTCCCCATGACTCCCTTTTTGAACAGCTACACTTGTAACACTTTCCATCCTCAGCCCAGCGCTTTTTGGGAAATTTCAAAATTGCCAACGGCTATTTTCAGAATGTGCTGCGGGCCGCTTCAGAAGAAGAAAAGAAAAAACAGCCCACGTGTACCCCACTTTAGTCGACATGAATTAGAGCAAAGGAATGCCTTTCTGTGAAAACTGTGACAACCAAATGGAGAGGACCTTATTTTTGTAGTTTTGAAATGGTTACGAATGTAAAAATGTTTGTGAAAACATTTCTTAAGTTTCACAGTGGCAAGGGTTGCAGGCGCGGGAACGGACTAACTCTATTTGCAATACTTCCTGTTGGATTTTTTTCTTTCCTGAACAAATTGGAAGTCGACATTGCCACTTAGAAAATAAATATGGTATTAAAAAAAAAAAAAGACAGTAAAAGCTACGATATGCTGCTCCAGTCAGTCTAGGGTCCTTCCACCTTGATAATATTGAGGTGCTGATCCTGCGTGGACACGCTGCAGTCCTGCAGAGTCCCCCCGGGGCAGCCGGTCTGGAAATCCGACGGCTCGCTTCCCGCTTCCCCGAACGGCTGAGGGCGCGAGCGGTCGTACGCCGGCACGTAGGACTGGGCGTAGGGCGCCAAGAGAGTCTGGCAGTTTTGCCGGGGGTATGCGCCCACGTAGGGCTGCTGCGTCTGCGGGGGGGGCGTGTGAGTGAGGGGGCGGTCCTCCGCGCCGCTACGCGGCGGGAAGCCGTTCATGGCGTCGGGGCTCAGGGCGGGCAGTTTAAAGGCCTCGACGGGTTCCAGACTGGCGAGGGACTCGTAGGCCGCTTGGCTTTGACTGCACTGGCTGAAGGTAACTTGGGTAAAGTCGAAGGTGTCTTGGCTGAAGGAGGAAGAGGTGGCGGGCAGGCGGGAAGGGGAGGGGCTTTTGTTCCGCGCTTGCTGAGCGTTGCCGCAAGGGCCCGCCGCGGACGCCAGGCTCTGCAGGGTGCTGAGGATCTGCTTCTGGATGCGAGTCTGCTGCGCCTGCTCCCTCTCCAAGCGGCTCTGCTGCTCCGTCAGCATCTTCACGGCCAGGCCCAGGCTGCGCACCTCGCAGCCCAGCGTCTGGATCTGGTCCTGAAGACCGCCCCTGGGCCCGGCGTCTTGGCTCGGCTCGCGCAGGACGGCGCCCCCGGGGGCCGAGGACGCCAAAGGGGCCGCCGGACGGTCGGCGAGCCGGAATCCGGCTCGCGGCAGCGTGTGAAGGGAGCGCGCTGATGGGCCCGCTCGCTGTGGGACAAATCGCCTGCTTGCGTTTGGGCCGTCAGCTTCCGGGCCGCTCTGACCAACGAGGATGAAACAGATCCCTCATATTTTTGCTCATATCATTAAAGAAATACATTCAAGAAATTTAAAAAAAAAAAAAATCTATTAAGTGTCATTTAGTTTACTTTCTATCTGTCTATTTGTACACAGTACATGTACATATGGAAAGGAAAATGTCATGATCCATTGCATACTACATCATGAGTCATGTAGCTCTTGATCATGATCCAAAGCATACCACATCACATGTCGTCGCTCTATCCATTCTGCCTCTAAAAAGGAACACCCGATTATCTACGGATAAGCTCAGGATCCAAAGCATCCCACATCATATGACATGAATTAATCAAGGTGTTGATGGAAAAGTATAGCTCATGATCCAAAGCATACCACATCATTTGCTCACCTTTCCTGTGGTCAGATCATAATGTGCTGCTGCTGCTGCCGCTACTGGTTGTTGTGACATGGCAGCTAAATCAGATCTTTGGACATTTGCGTGCTCTCTCCTCAACAATGACGTCACCTGGCGGAGTAAAATGAAAATCATTTGACACGTTTCACGATGGTGACAGGCAAGAATGCTACGAATGAGACCTTCATCTTGTGCGTCAGCGCTTTATCCAAAATGCGCTTACGGGCCGCCAGCATTGAGGTGGTGGCCGGGGAGGGCGTCACTCTTCTCCTGGTGAAGGCCACGGATGCCGTTCCGGGAGAACAAGTCGCACTTGTCGCCGCCCTTTGCTGACTCAGCGCAAGAGACGTGACGCTCACGATCTGGACGTCGTTATCGTCCACGCCCTGCTGCCGCTGCCGCTCCGTTTGGCTCTCCGCGCTGCTTTCCCCGCAGCCCGAAGCTGTGGCGTCGCCGTCCGCTGCCGCGGGGGGCCGCTTGGCGAACTTGCTGAAGCCGGCGTGGCGCGGCGCGTCCCGTAGCAGATGTTGCAGACGGATGCCGCTCAAGCTCTCTTGGAGCCCCCCGACCAGATTTTGCACGTGCGCCGGTGGCGCCGCCGCATTGCTTCCTGCCTCCATGGGCCTGACCCGGCCCGGTCGCCTGCCTTGGAACTCCCTAAGGAACAGGTAGATGGCCTGCGCCGACACCTTGATGTTCTCCAGCTCCAGCACGGCCTTGATCTTGCGGAAACTCAGACCCGCCTTCCTCAGCTCCACCACTTTGCGCTTGGCGGCGTCATCCAGGCGACCCATGGCGCGGCTTGTATCTACGGAAAGGAACGCTTTGCGATCCAAAGCATACCACATCGTGAGACATCTGTCAGTCAGTCCGTGGAAAGGAACAGCTCATGATCCAAAGCATACCACATCATTTGTCTCCTATGTAGTCGTGGTCCTAAGCGTGCCATATTTGTCTCCTATCGATGACAAGCAATAGATTCTAGCTCTACATGTATGTCGACATATGGATGTAAGAACAGGAATGGCTCGTGATCCAAACATCCCCGCAGCAACATTCATGTCATCCATCAAACTGTTTGCACCAAATACATTCTCAAAAAATGCGTGGCTCTCCAAGTGCCACAATCTTGAGCAAAATTAAGATGCGGTAGCATGATTGGCCTACGTTTTCATCAAAAACGCGACGGCGGTTTTATTCCAAAATCAATCATTTAGAAAATGTGTACCTTTATTGATGTGTGATAACAAAAAGGTCGTCCATTCAGGGCAAAGGGAAGGAACAGCTCGTAATGACTCTATATATATGGGAATGAACAGTTCATGGCAAGAACATCAGACCAAACCAAAATCACGATAATGTACTCCACAAAAACATTTGCACCAACAACCACGTCAAAAAAAAAAGAGCCGATGTCTCTTCTCAACGCCGAACGGCTTACCCTCAAAATCTGCTGTGATGTGCAAACACCGATGCAAAAACGATAGCTTGGCGTGGACAAATACTAACACAAGGTAACACGCTCACGTGGCGAAGGTAAAAAAATGCACTCCGTGACATTCGAGATGAGCCTCGTTCAAAATCGCTCCGGCGACAAGCAAACCTTTCATATTTTTTTTTTCGAGGAGCGCATAAATAAACAAATCAGTCATAAGTGGCGCTCAGGTAGTGGCGTCACTTCCGACTCGTGTCGTCATCAGCACGCGTCTCTTCGCGAGGCCCATCGTCGCTCGGGACTGGACCACCTGTAAGAAAAAACATGTAAGTTTACGATTTTATTCAGTGGTTACGATTGAGAACATAATATTACTCGCTACTTTTTATTGCATTCAAAGATTTATCATATAGCGCAATGTTATGTAGATGTCAGATGTCGAGCATTTTATCAATGAACAAAAGCCCCATGTTTTCCGTCCGCTGAATTGAATCGGCCTCGATGAAATTCAATGGCGGCGTGTTTTTTTTTCCCTCCAGTATTTAAATTTATTGCTTGTTATGTTGTTTTAAAATAACCACTCCCTCGTTTTGCCTTTGTAAATTCAGGTCACTCACATTTATAACATTTTCTTCCAAACCATACAGAATCAGAATTCGAAAAGGATTTGCGGGCATTTGGAAAGCTAGCCGGCTACATGTAGCAGGTCCCCACACGGCTACATTAATTGCTATAGCGGGCTCTCCCGATTTCATAGAAATTGAAGCGCTAAACGTAAACCATAAAAATCCGGCTTGTTTGACACCGCCGGCCAACTATGTATGCAACCACATGCTGTTAATTCATTGTCATCAACAACATGCTTCGGGGCTCCTAATAATTTTCGTTTCTCACTCCGTTTCGACTCCCTGTCTCTCCAATGAAAACAAAACCAGCCAAATGTGGAATGCTGAATTCCTAATCATTTTAGAGCTACGGAAAATAATACATGTTCAACGACCAAAAAAAAAAAAGAAGCAGTTTCTATAAATCCGAAAAGACAGCAAACATATTTATCGGGTTGAAGGAAAATGATATTCGCGTTTGCCTTCATAAGCTGGAATTAAAATGCAGCCTGGCTTGTGGGAGGAAGGATTTCTGTCAGTGCAGCGAGCTCGCGCCAACAGCCCCTCTTCGTCTTGCATCTGCACTGTTTATTCTCGTGTTGATGAATGTGCACTGTCATTCATTCATTCATTCATAAATCAATAAAATATATATAATGTATATATAAATAAATGCTGCCTTGCAGTAGATGCTTTGACTTGTCCATGACATGGACATGTATAAATAAATGCTGCCATGCAGTAGATGCTTTGACTTGTCCATGACATGGACAGGAGCATGTTCGGTGTCCTCCTTTCTCCCATGGCCACTTTTATTTTCATTTTGTCATGATATACTGTCATTTCATATTTTATTTCCCCCATGTAACGATTGGTTCAATCCCTGTTTGTAAACAATTTTTTGTTTGTTCTTTAATCGGGAGAACTAAAGTAAATCCCCGCGAGGGGAAACTAAACTGAGTTTTTTTGCTTAAATTCTGGAAAACGTTGAGGGGCTATATCACCCAGCACTAATGCCCTGAGGAGAACTAAAGTAAATCCCGCGAGGGGAAACTAAACTGAGTTTTTTGCTTAAATTCTGGAAAGCGTTGAGGGGCTATATCACCCAGCACTAATGCCCTGATTTCGTAATAGCAATTCTTTTTTTTTTTGTTGTTCCTGTGTGTGTCTGCACTGTAGGGCTCCATCTCCTACCAAGCGAAAGGAAGAGGAGAAAACTAAAGACCGAGCCAAGGAAAAATCTGCCGCCAAGGACGGTGAAAAGGACCGGGGACGGGAGAAAGCCAGGAAGCGCCGCAGCGCGTCCACTGGGAGCAGCAGCAGGTCTGAAGGCCACGATTACAAATTGTGCATTAACTAAACATACGACGGTGTTTAAAAACAAAACGACAATGGTATTTTCTTACAGCTTTGCAGCAAGCGCAAACGGGCTTGTCTGTTTTTTAAGGCGGCCGCTTCGACAGTATGTCACAGTCGGGGAACTTGAATAGGAAACGAAGTGAGTCGAGCTTCCCCAAAATGAGCACGTAATAAGCAGGACCGCAAAGTAGCTGCTGCAGCCACAACTGATAGCCGGGCACTCCGCGGTGCGCAGGCTGGCTCGCGGTGCGCCACTCGGATGCCATCCGCTAAGCCGAGCTCACATTTAAACTCAACGCTCTCGCTCGCTGCCTCCCACGTCACTCACCAGGCCAGATAACCGTGTGGGACGTTAGGACGGCGATCCAACTGAACAAGAATCATACCCGCATCTGTACGTTTTGTTGTTTCAAAATGCAAAACGGATGACTTTTGCAATCAGGTCCCGATCGAGCTCCTCTTCCAGCAGCAGCTCCGGTTCCAGCTCGGGCTCGTCCAGCGGCTCCAGCTCGTCGGGGAGCAGCCACTCGGGCTCCTCCAGTTCGCGCTCCTCCTCCTCCTCCAGCTCCTCGGGCTCGCCCAGCCCCAGCCGCCGGCGCCACGACAACCGCCGCCGCTCCCGCTCGCCGTAAGCCTCGCCTTGTTGGTGCTCCGCCATGAAATCGGACTTGTTTGCCAGGACGATCGCTGTTGTTGCGCAGGTCCAAAACGCAGAAGAGGGGAGAAGAAAAGGATAAGGAAAAAGATAAGGAGAGGAGGAAAAGAACACCCAGCCCCAAACCAACCAAGGTTCACTTGGGGCGGCTGACCAGGAATGTCACCAAGGTCTGCCCTTTTGACACAAATTTTGAGGGGCGAAAGGAAACGTTCGAATGTCATTATCCTTGACTTGATTTAATATTACAAATTATAATTTGAATATTTGTACAACAGGATTGTATGTCGTCAGCGGGTGGGACTCTCGTATGTTAAATACACAGCAGGAAGTTGTCTCTGGTAGTTTGAGCCACTCGCGCAGCAACAAGCAACTTGACCAAGAGCAACATTTAGCATGTCGTCTGTTTGTTTTCCACGTAATGGTGACCCGTTTCTCCCGTTTTTTTTTTTTTCCCCCTCGCACACAGGACCACATACAGGAGATCTTTGCCACCTATGGCAAAATCAAGTCTGTGGAGATGCCGATGGAGAGGCAGGTCCCGCACATGTCGAAGGGCTTTGCTTACGTGGAATACGAGAGCCCAGAAGAGGCCCAGAAGGCCCTGAAGTACATGGATGGCGGTAGGATTTCGAGAGTGCATGGGTGGGTGTGGTGTTTTTTGGGGGGGGGGGGGGGTCAGCGAGTCAACGCATGGACTCAGGGGTCTTTGGTTTAGGGCGGTCCCGGAATTCAAGGTTTTGAGGTGACCAACACGTTTGCCTAGCACTGTAAGAATGTCACAAAAAGGCACGCTTGGTGACTTGCAACACTTTGACACAAGATTGGCATTAAGAGTCAGAATTGTTTTTTCTTGTAAGACTTGTTGAGCGTTCCAACATATGTTCCTAGGTCAGATTGATGGACAGGAGATCACGGCGGCTGCCGTGCTGCCCCAGAGGGTCCGTCCTCCGCCTCGTCGCCTTTCTCCCCCTCGCAGAATGCCCCCACCGCCACCCATGTGGCGACGCAGCCCGCCCCGCATGAGGAGAAGGTCGGTCTTCTTTACCTAATGTTCCTTCCGAATCAGGGAAGCCCTCCGAGAGCCGTACGTTGAAAGAAAAAAAACCCAACAATCCAAAAAGCAAATAGTTCAAATGCCAAGGGAAGTAAAATATAAGCAACGGAGAAAATGTGGTTGCATAAGTGTACACACCCTCTGAAAACTGATCTGGCTGTGTTCAGAATGAACCAATCGCATTCAGACCTGTGGGGAAAAGGGAGTCAGCCCGCGACCGCCGAGTGCTTTCGATTTATTTTCAAGGTCCGTTTTCCTGACATTTTCTTTTTTCCCGCTGTTCCTTCAGGTCCCGCTCCCCAAGGAGGCGCTCGCCAGTCCGCCGCCGCTCTCGCTCCAGATCTCCCGGCCGCAGGCGTCACCGCTCTCGTTCCAGCTCGAACTCGTCCCGATGAAAACGTTTTCGGCTTTGAGCGCAATTCCAATTCAATTACTTTTCATGATTACAAATTTACAAAAAACAAAGTTGAAAAAACATTTTTCCCTCGTAGGATATTGATTTTTTTTTTTTTTTTTTTGTATTGGTTTGATTTAGATGAGCCTGAGCTGAGTTAGTGACCCGTTTTAACTGTGTTGAAGAGAGTTGGAAAAATAAAACTTGTGAAACATTACCACCGTCATGTTCATTTTTAACTTTCCGTCACTGTCAAACTGTAGTCGGAAGGCATCCAATTTCCGCAGCGCTGGTTTGGACTTTGAGCCTCAGAAGTGTGAGGCAGATGTGCTCACCACTTCCCGCCGCGTGGCGAATCTTTATACACTTACCTGTAAATTTAACCCGACTAAAGGAGAAAAAGCCTTCGTTAAAACGAGTGTTTGGGATGCATGGAGACCATGTCCCGTTCCTGCCATGCAATAAAGTTCATGTTGTTCACGTGAATGGAATTAACAATTTCAAATATTTTCATCGTTAATTCCTCAAAACCAGTGGTCCCCAAACTACGGCTACAGCCCCCCCCCCCTCCACATTTTGCCTGCGCCCCCTGAACAAGAGCAGAGATGCATTAGCACTTTTTTTTCCTCCTTACTAGTGTGGCCACGTGATCGAGACTTGTACATGCATAGAACTGAATATTCTATTGCACCCTTCTGCAGTAAGTGCTCTATCTGGAAAAAAAAAATCCTGTCAAAAAAGGGTAACTCATGCTTGGTTACCACTACACTTTACGTCTTTCATTTGATTGTTACATTGAAGTGTTTTTTTTTTTGTTGTCGTTGGTACAGTGTTTCCAAGTGAGGATCCCGTTCGGTGTCGATGCAATACATGAAAATGACGCTAGGGGTCCCTCTCCCACTCCCAAGTCTTGACCGAAGACAATTGCGACCTGTTGTGCCGCCTCTTCTCTTCCCTTCCCTTCCTCCATGCAGCGCGTGCGGCGACATCTCCTTGTCGCACGGGACTTCGACATTGCGACCCGGCGAGCCCAGTCGCCTTGAGGATGTTTTCAGAGCGGGACAAAAGCAGAAAGAGGCTGATGGAACTTTTGGACAAACCCGGAAATAGAACCTGCGCCGACTGCGCAGCAGCAGGTAACTCCTGCCTCATTCAAAGATGCTGTCCGAAGATATTATCGTGTTACTCTTTCGATTGATACATACACATTTCCATAAATAGGTCACGACCCCCCGCCCCCTTTTTTTTAACGACGCTATCGCAGACGTGCTTTTTTTATCTCTGAAAAAGACATTCGAAATATGAAATACACCTCCAGAAGTTAATGACTCCTCGACAACATCGCGCTGTCTCGCTAACGATAGCGTCGGTGTCTTTTTCATTTATAGACGAGATTCACATTTTATTTCCTCCCACATTTCAAAAACATGCACGGCAGGCTGATTGAACACTCCAAATTGTCCCTCGGTGTGAGTGTGAGCGCGAATGGTTGTTCGTTTCTGTGTGCCCCGCGATTGGTTAATGATGATGCATTTTGTTCACAGTGCTTTACATGGAATGTTTGGAAATGATCGTGCCATTTTAGCGTCATTTCGGGCGATGTCTTCAGGTCCCATCAAAAATCAAGTCCCCCCTCCCCCCTTTTGCGAGCAAATTTGAACCCCATATATCAAACAGATGGCAAAAATATGCATTACCCTCCATACCTATTGGCACCCCAGGTTACCCCTTTAAAACTGTGTATATGTACATATATATGTATATATATATATATA